ATAATAATAATAATAATAATAATAATAATAATAATAATAATAATAATAATAATAATAATAATAATAATAATAATAATAATAATAATAATAATAATAATAATAATAATAATAATAATAATAATAATAATAATAATAATAATAATAATAATAATAATAATAATAATAATAATAATAATAATAATAATAATAATAATAATAATAATAATAATAATTTAAACTCTTCTTTTCATTTAAGAAATAATTTAGACTCTTTTACAAATTATCTCGTTCCCAATTTTCTTTTTCTTTTTTAATTTTTTTCGGGTTTCGAGTTTTCGGGTTTTCGGGTTCCGGGTTTCGGGTTTCGGGTTTCGAGTTTCGGGTTTCGGGTTTTCGTGTTTCCTTTTTTCCGTCAAGGGTCAGACTGTTCCGGAGCCATTCAGACCGTTCCGGCGCCGTTCCGGTGCCGTTTCCCGGCTACGTCTCGCCCGTCTCGGTGGTCCGCCGCGTCAAGGGGAGAGAACTGTTTTGTTAGGGATTCCGGAACGGCGGACACCATTCCCGTTCCGAAACGGCCGTTCCGGCAGCGTTCCGGCGAACCCTGCTGGCAAGTAAAATAGGGATAAACCTAAGCCGAAATCATTTTTGTAATTTTCGCCCATATATGGATACCTTGAGAGAGGCGAAAGTACTATACTGTCTATATACGCAATTTTCGCCCAAACTGCATTCAATATTTGTAGTCATGCATTTAGCATTTATGGTCACCTATTTAGCATTTTCATTGATTTGTTTATTTATTATGTTTTTTTTTATCTTTTATTTTATAAAAATCTATTTGGTTATTTTGTTATTTTTTATAAGTATATCTTTTTTAGGGTAAATTCCACTTTACCTCTTTGTACTTTGACTGAATATCACTTTACCATCCCTTGTACTCTCAATTGCATCGATTTGCCCTCTTGTACTTTGGTTCAATAGCACTTTACCCCCTTCTACTCTCAATTCATCGATTTGCCCCCTTGTACTTTGGCTCAATATCACTTTACCCCCTTCTACTCTCAATTGCATCGATTTGCCCCCCTTACTTGAAAATTTGTCTCAATGTAGCCATCGCCATTAGTTTTCAGACCTTTGACCTTAACACCGTTTGATTTAAGTATAAAAATTACTAAAACGTCACCCCTCCAGTTTAAATAATTATTTAAAAAATTAAAAAAAATAAAAAATAAAAAACAACAAAAAATAAAATAATGAAAAATTCAAGACAACGAGAAAACATAGGACACGACGCCAGCCACAATTTTTTTATTTTTTATTTATTAATTATTTAAACTAGGAGGGGTGGCTTTTTTGTAATTTTCAAACTTAAATCAAACGGTGTTAAGGTCAAAGGTCTGAAAACTAACGGGGAGGGCCACATTGAGATAAATTTTCAAGTACAAGGGGGCAAATCGATGCAATTGAGAGTAGAAGGGGGTAAAGTGATATTGAGCCAATGTACAAGGGGGCAAATCGATGAATTGAGAGTAGAATGGGGTAAAGTGATATCGAACCAATGTATAAAGGGGGCAAATCGATGCAATTGAGAGTACAAGGGGGTAAAGTGATATCCAACCAAAGTACAAGGGAGTAAAGTGAAATTTACCCTCTTTTTTATTAATCTTCTTCTTCCTCTTCTTTTTTTTTTTTTTTTTTTTTTTCTTTTAAATCTTAATTTTTTTATTTTTCATTTTTCATTTTTTTTGAAAATCGATATGTTTACTGTACTGAAAATCCTACATGTAACTGTAGTAAACTATAGTAATTCGTAATAATGTTTTTTCTTTTAAGCCCAATTTTTTAGTCGACCAATTATGTACACACATGAATATCGACGCTTATAAAAAAAAATCATAAACACCAACAACAAAAATTCACAATTTAAATATTTATATTATGAATCAACTTAGAACCAAAAATACGAGTCGAAATACACAATCAGATGCATATGTTACTACATGTTAACGTATAATAATGTGTAGTAATGTACACAGTCGGTGGAACACTCCAACTTGAAGCAGATGTCAAAATCATCAATTCATTTACAACTTCATCTAAATTTTTTAACACCTTCAAAGAGAGGATCAATGACTCCATTAAGCTGCAATCTCAAAATCAGAGAAAAAAAAAGTATAAATTAACAAAAATTGAACAAATATCAAAACACTAAAAAATGGAGAACCGGAACCGAACCGATTTTTTCGGTTCCTGTTCTAGTCAAACTGGTTCCGGTTCGATTAAAAAAACCGTTGACCCCACTTCTAACAGAACCGGTGGTCATACCTAATTCGAACAAAGACAAGTACCAAGAATCAATGCTCCTAAAATCATACACGTTGCCTACACAATGTTGTTTCAATTTATTGGCTTAGAGCCATCTACCTCGTGTAGTCATCTTGGTCACATGTTTTCTTGGTCCACAAACGCAAGTGCATCACCTCATATGCACACCACCCCCATAAATTTTCATGGATAATTCCCCCCAAAAAAACAATTAAAGGAAAATACAAAAACTTTTATTGTAAAAAATAATTATTACTACATGCTTTTAAAATTCAAGTTCATAAATTTCAATCATCTCTCTTCTGTATTTAGTCATAATATATAGTTTATCCTATGTACATTTTCATAACACATTGACACACAAAAAAAAAAAAAAAAAAAAAAACACACACACACACACACTATACGTATAAATATAAGACTAGCATTTGTGCCATAAAGATCCCTTATTCACTCACAACAAATTAAACACAAGAAGCGGAGCGATATATTATATTATACATCATGGTTCTATCGGCGCTGCTGAATTTTTTCTACCCGCCGCCGGCGAGCCTGGTGGTAAAGGTGATGGCGGTGATAGGTTTTGCGTCACTGACAAATGCCGGATGGATGGAAACCAAGGGTAAGCACATGCAGTATTCTAAGCTACGGAATGTCGGTGACGGTGACGGTAGCAAGGGGAAGATAACAGAAAAGGCGAAAGTCCCGAGTAAATTGGGCATGATTGTTCTCTACACGCCCGCTTTTCTCGCCGGAGTTTCCTCCTTTTTCCTCTTTCCGGTGACGGATTTGAGATTTAATTTGCTTCGTTCCGCCGTCACCGTACATTTCTTCAAGAGGGTTCTTGAGGTACTAATTAACAATTTTTTATTTTTTTTTTTCTGTTCGGATTTTATATGAAATGAATTAAATATATATTTTTTTTATTGTTGATTGAAATTTTGTTGGATTTCTCACCGGAGTAAAACCTCAATAAAATTAGGTCGTGATTTTTTAATACCGAATTAGACCTAATATAATATTGGGAGAGGAGAGTATGGTACCATTTAACAAGATACATAATTTATTGAAGATAAAAAAAACGGGGGTAAATTACGCCCTCGCTTATGTAAAGTCAAATTACGAAAAACTTCCTTTTGCTTGGATAATTATAATCACTCATCACCTATAAATCTTCTTACACATCCACCTTTATAGTGACAAATTCAACGTAATTTTATAGATTATGAGGAATGTTCTCTAGCTTGTATTCATTTTCTGTAAAAATGCAGTTTTCGATGCACCACAATCTGAATAAATTTACAAGTCAAGAGGCACATCTTATGATCATCTTAGTTTCAAAATGTGGAGCTCAAATGGGGTAAAACGTGTACAAATTGGAGATTATTTCATATAATCTAGAAGATTTCACTAAATTTGACACCGTGAGGTAGATATGTAAGAAGATTCATAGTTGAGAGGTGGTGGTAATTACCAACGAGGAGGAGTTTTTTCATTATTTGAGCTTACCTTAAGGAGTTTTTTTTTTTTTCGTAATTTGCCTTATCTCAGGGGTGGCCGTAATTTACTCAAAACAAAAACAATGAATTTTATTTAGTGTCTTACATCATCAATTTTAAGTAGGTCAAAGGGTAGATGTAATAAAATATTGATTTGGAACCAAACATCAATAGAAATTTGGGTACATTTCTAAACTCGATGGAGTCTGCAGGTATTATTAAAACATAGAGTCAACATAGGTTGGTACACTTCACTCCATTTTTTAATTCTCTTTATATTCTTTCATTAAAAATGTATATTAAGTATTATTATGCTGCATGCAGTAATTTACACCATTACATAACAGTTAATTGGTGAATATGAAATATAAGAATCAAAGTGTATTAATAACCTCTTTGCAGTTGCCCAAATATTGTGAAGAACACAATAAAATGTGTATAAATTTGATGATATGATACAGCGAAAGGTGTTCGATGAAATGCCCGAAAGAGTTGTTTTAGCGATGGACTATATTTTTAATACTCTTGCTCTGTGGATATTACATATATAGGTACTGTTTGTTCACAAATTCAGTGGCTCGATGGATTTGGAAGCGATGATCACAATTTCTCTGAGTTACTTAGCCTCCGCATCGACAATGATCTACAGTCAAGAATTGGTGCAAGGTCTCCCGGAACCAGCTATCGATCTTAAATACATTGGAGTTCCTTTGTTCTTAGTTGGAATCGGTGGTAATTTCTATCACCATTTTCTTCTATCCAAACTGCGAACGGGGGCAGAAAAACAGTACAAAATCCCACAAGGTGGTTTCTTTTCTCTCGTGATATGCCCGCACTACTTTTTCGAAATTCTCGGTTTTTTCGGAATTTGTTGCATTTCGCAAACGATGTACCCGTTTGCGTTTACTATGGGGACGACTTTCTACTTGATGGGGAGGAGTTACGCTACTAGGGAATGGTACAAGTCTAAGTTTGAAGATTTTCCTAAGGATGTAAAGGCCTTGATTCCTTACATTTTCTAGTTGACCTCAAACGTTGTAACTATTATGTATTGTATGAAGCAGCGATTATCGAGAGGATTTTATGAAAGTAAATAGTGTACTATAAATAGGTTTCGTTATTATATGACGCGGCACAGTAGGGCAGAGTAACGCTGTGGTTTATTTTATTTTTTAATATTGGCAGTAGAGTGAAGTTTGAACTTTGAAGCAGTTTTTTCTTGATTTGCTTTTGGTTGTTATGAACTGATAAGTGATTATGATATTGTGACATTATGGCATAATTTGCTTGCTTAAAATTAGTTTGAATTTTGGAATTGTAATTTTTTTTAGTTGCTATTAATAATTTGAATTGATATATGATAATGGCAAAGTGGTACTAGGTAGAAAGTGCATACTTTTACTCTAAATTTTGGATCTTTTAAAGTAAACTAGATAACATGTATACCCCTAATCAATCTATTCAGGAACTAAATATTCTGTTGCCAACCATCAATCGACTCACAAATGTTGCACTGCATAGCACGTAGCAGAGCTTACATGAGTATTATACTATATGAAAAGATGCATTCTACAATACACCGGGAGTTAGAAAGAGAGCTTAGACAAGGAACAAAGCACTACATGGGGTTTTGCATTAAACAACACATCGGTCGAATTTTGGACAAATTACTTTTAGAGATCGAGCTGGTACAATCATATTTTATTGACCTCCTTGAGGGGACCAGGCTCTACAACTTATAACGAGACTGCCCACTAGCTAGCTTTTCATAACCAACATTGGTTAGTGCTTTTCTGGACATGTGGCAACTCGATCGACTCGAACACCTTCAACACGCGAGATGAATATCACACTCCACGGCGTGCAATACATTTTGGGGATGCTAGTGGTAGCGGATTTGTTCGCATGGGCGGACCCACAATGTCTCTTGGGGGCGCGCTCTGCCTCAACAGAAAAATAAAATTAAGCATATTTTTTTTTAAATTATTATTTATCAATTAGTTTATGTACTTTAACCTCCAAAATTTGAATTTTATACACTTTAAGCCCCTAAAAATATTTATAGCCCCACCACCCAAAACCCCTGGGTCTGCCCCTGGTTGTACGTTAATGAAATTTATGGGGGCTAGTTCGGCATCATGGGCCAAATTCGTTACGTGTTGGGCTGTAAATTGTAGGTTTTTTGTTTGTGCTCGGCGCCAAGGTAGAGATGGGATATGTTTTAAAGAAGTATGTGAAAGAAAATTGATTTTTTACGTATGGTGAGGAATAATACGGGAAGTATGTGTGAACAAAGTAACTTGATGTAGGGTAAATCAAGAGGTCTAGTTGGAAAAGACTACTACTTCTAAACCCTTAGGTGTAAATATTACATTATTTTTCATGTTCTCATCATACGGCATTAGTATCGTTTTATTTTTTTCTTGAGCCGTCTTCTCCATCGAACTTGAGCGTCAGAGAATTTTCCAATGTGTCCAATCCTCGGAGTTACAGGTGAACGGAGCTAACGTTCCGACAGGGGCGGACCGAGGTGAAAAGCATCATTGATCTAATATTGAAATTCTGGTAAGAGTTTGATAGAAGTCAATTTTCAAACCAAGCACTTAACTAATTTGAGTTTGCCAATTCAAAAAATTCCAGCCTTTCATGAGAAGACTAGTACCAAGAATGTTCATTAAAGTAAGAGCATACCTTGTGAGCACATAAAAGAACATGTTATTTTCCTTCCCCAACTATCCACCTAACTCTTTCCTCATCATATATTTCCCTTGTCCACATAGCCAACTTAGGGCCCGTTTGCCTATGCTTATTTTAAAAAGTTGATAAGTTATTATGTTTGATAAAATGTTTTAAGAGTTTATAAGCTGTTACATCTTATTTTTACAATTAATTTTTAAAGTGTTTGGATAATGAATTTATTTTCTATTTTTACTCATTATACGATCTTAAATAACAAGGTGGGGTAAATGTATTTTAAAAAAAAAAAATCTTATTTACTCTCCAACAACTTATTTAAAAAAAATTAAGATCTTTTTTCTAAAATTTACCAAACACTTTGGAAGAGCTTATACGCTGTTAAACATCTTATAAGCTCATTTTAACATCTTATAAGCTTGGCCAAACGACCTCTTAGATGATACATCTGGTTATTTATATAAGATGGATTTCAATCGTAGATTTGATTAGATAACTACCCACTAAGCACACATACACATGGGCGTATGTGGTTATGTGTAAATTTTACGATTCAAATCTACCCAATATAAATAACCAGGTGTAAAATCTAAACTCCCATCTACATAATACATACTTTCAATTTAATTTATATAATAACCGGGTGTCATATTTGCATGATTTTTTTTATTTTAGGACTTCACTTGACAAATAAACTTGACCGATATTACTTATGTGGACGCTTAAAGATAATATATTTGAAATCTAACTTAACCTTAACCTTGATAGAATTTTGATTATGTGAGAAGACGAATTAGTAAACTTAGTTAGAGCTTAAAGGAGCATCTGTAATTTGTAAGCGTCCATGTAAATAAATTTCAACGAGTTTCTTAATTAAATTATTAAACAACGGATAAAATTCAAATTTTGAATGAAATAGGAAAAAACAAAATACTATATTTCCATTAAGTATGAAAGAAATAGGGGGGGAAAAATACAGGACCAAAACTACAAAAAAAAATTACGAGAGAAGAGAAAAAAAAAATAATATAAGCACCGTTTATGATATGCCACACCTTGTGTAACTGGGTAATTATTAACCGTTGATGTGGTGAAATAACTTCCCGCTAAGCACATATAATAATTATTAACCGTTGATGTGTATGTGTAATATTGTGTGCAGATCAACATTTAATAATCATCTAAAGTATTTTACCGGGTGTAGCATCAAACACACCATATAAGCACCTCCCAACTGACAAGCACTATAAATAAAACACATTGCTCCATCATTTCAAATTGGAATTATCAGTTACACACCACACATCTAACATAAGCGTGAGTGTCTGTGGGGATTACTTACATAAATATATATTTATTACACTTCAAAAAAAAAAAAAAAAAAAAAAAATTAACCACCACAAAACAGAGTGATCATGGTTCTATCAGTGCTATTGAATATTATATACCCACCGCCGGCGAATTTGGCGGTAACAGCAATGTCGGTATTCAATCTTGTGTCGTTGGGTAGTTCCGGGTGGATGGAAGTTCAGGGGAAGCATTTGCAGTACGCTAAGCTCCAAAGTGATAATACTAACGAAAACAACAAGAATGTGAAGATAGTAGAAAAGGCGAAAGTACCGAGTCAACTCGGTATGTTTGTAATGTACGCTCCTGCTTGTATTGCTGGATTTTCCTCTTTTGCCCTTCGACCCAGTGGCGATCTCCGGTTTAACTTGGTTCGTTCGGCTGTCACCGCCCATTTCCTCAAGAGAGTCTTGGAGGTACGTACATTTTCTATTCGGATTCACATGGTTAGGCAAAACATATTGTCAATATATTTGTCACTAATATATCGCTAGTCCTATATAGTGACAATAAAAAAAGGAAGAAGAATTAATTGACATCAGCAGATATCGAACTATTATATTAGTGATAAGATAAAAAAATATTGTCACATAATGTAAAAATTTAGTGACAACTTTGGTTAGTAGAGAAATGACTTTTTACTACAACTATTAACTGTAACAAAATGTATCAAATTCGTAGTAAAAAGGCTTTTGTTACGTGTTTGCTACGAATTTGCACCGTAGCATATATGGGCGTGACAAAAACTTTGCTACGGTAAATGACCGTAGCAAATACTTTTTTGTTATGGTAAATCCTAGCATTTACTACGACTCCAAAATTGTCCCGCAGTAAGATGTACCTTTTGTTACGGCATTTTACCGTAGCAAAGAAATTCGTAGTAAAAAACAATGTTTCCACTAGTGTTTTGGTATCTCATCGATCACCATTGCAGAATACGTCACTAATGCCGTCGTTTTCTTCGAAATTTCTAGTTGATTTGATATGAGAATTTTGTAAACTAGTTGTGCTTTCATGTGGAATATAGGTGCTCTTCGTTCACAAGTTTAGTGGGTCGATGGATGCGGAAACAATGGTGACAGTTTCTCTGAGTTACTTATTATCCGCATCGACAATGATCTACAATCAAGAATTGGTGGAAGGACTCTCCGAACCGGTTATTGATCTTAAATACGTCGGGATTGCGATGTTTTTATTGGGAATTGGTGGTAATTTTTATCACCATTTTCTTCTATCCAAACTGCGAGAAGACGGCGAAAAAGGGTACAAAATCCCGCAAGGGGGCCTCTTTTCTTTGGTGATATGTCCGCATTATTTCTTCGAAATTCTCGGGTTTTTGGGAATTTCTTGCATTTCACAAACACTATACCCCTTGTGTTTTACGGTGGGATCAACTTTCTACTTGATGGGGAGGAGTTATGCCACTAGAGAATGGTATGAGTCTAAGTTTGAAGATGATTTTCCCAAAGAAATCAAAGCCATGATTCCTTACATTTTCTAGATGGTGACAAAGAAAGTAAGAGCACGTAATAGCTCTTAGACTCAATATTGATGTTTCTATTATAGGTTTTAATGTATTTTTACATAAGACTTGTTTTACAATATTTATATTGCTGTCAACCACAATAATATTATTTTTTTTTTAATTTTTTTTATTATATTTGCCTTTGTAATATTATTATTTTTTTAACTTTTTATTATATTTGCCTTTGTTGACTCGCTAGCATAATAATATTATTGTATTACACGATAATATATTATGTAACTTAGTGATTTTGTTGAGTTAATATTATTGTGCTAGATAGTAATATAACATATAGCAATATGATTGTGTTAAACAGTATTATAGTTAATATGATGTCAACCACAAAATATTACTGTTTTTTGTACGAGGAGAGAAAAGGAAGAAAAAAATCAACGTCGTGGAGACCGTCGTTGACCGCCGGTCAACGGTGGCGGCAGTAGAAAAGATTAAAAAAAAAATCTACGGCGGTAATTAGTGGATGCACAATGGCGGTAGCAGAAAGAAAAAAAAAGTCAACGGCGATGACTGTCAAAATTGAATAATTTGTGAAATTTATGGTCCAATTGAGGTTAAATTGAGTTAAGGGATGAAATTAGATCATATTAAAATGTGGGGTATTTTAGTCTTTTACACACATTTGGACTTTGTATATTTTTTTCTGTAAAATAGATTTTGGTATGGTGTTCTTTATGAATAAGTAGCCCATGATGGCTTATTTGTAAATGCCTCTAGAAATATTCCTACCGAGTTACTCTATCACTTTGAACGATTTAGTATAATTGTGACATAATTCAATACAAGTAAGGAAAAATAACACCTACAACCATGAGATATGCTAAAATAAATTAAGGTCCATGTCGTATCGATAATCACAATCACACTCTGAAACATTGTTAGAAATCCTAACGGACTATTAGTTCCGGCAGTGGTGAAGAGAACATGTAGTTAGGGGGTGATACGGGTAATTTTAATTAACTTTATAAATTGGAAAAGTTTCCATATTTAATAGGTGCATTGAATTGAAGATCTTCAATTTTGAAAATTGTAAAATTTCAAGTGGCCCTCGTATTAACGAGAATTTTATACTCATCACAATAATATGAGCAATCGTTTGTAAGAGAAAAAAACATGCGAAGTTGTGGACCTAACAACTTACCGGACACGGTCCATCTTAAGCCCAACGAGGGCTTTGAGAACCCTAGTATATATACACATTAAGTGGAATTGACTAATTTTTCAACTCCACTTAACCCTAGCCGACCGCTCCTCTCTAGGCTGCCCAACCGCCGTCGTGCCCACTACCGCGCTGCCAAGCCACCACTCCCTCGTTTATTCGTCGTATTCTGACCTTTCTATATATAGTGGTATAGAAGAAGTGGATCAAATTGCACGAGGTGAAATTCGATAGTTTGATAATAATCTGGTACGAGTTTGGTAGAAGTCAATTTTCAAACCAAAAAATGAACTGATTTTGAGGTGGGCAATTCAAATAATTCCAGCCTTAAAGACTACCTAGAATGTCCATAAAACTAAGAGCATATGTTGTGAGCACATAAAGAACATGTTAATATTTCCCTTGCCCAACTATCTACCTAATCTTTCCTCATCATATATATATATATATATATATATATATATATATATATATATATATATATATATATATATATATATATATATATATATATATACTTCAGTTTATTATGATCACTTCAAGTTAAAATAATCATTTTTTTTAACGTGGTAGAAATTCGGATCATTAAATGTAACAAATATAATATAGGGCATTTTATATTTTATATTATTTCTCTTTTTGATAAATTACATAATAATTTCTTAATAGTTGTTTAGTAAATATTTCATTTATGTCTAATAAATGTCTAATAAATTTGTATTAATTGTTTAGTAATTGTATAGACACTATTTAAATTCTGATATTATTTTTAATAATTGTTTAACAGATCATTAAAATGTTAAATTTTTTTCTTTTGGTAATGAAGGAACACAACCAAGCATATATGTGCACTGGGTAAACCTACACTCTCTTATAATACGAGAGACGTAAACTACATTGAACTAAACATTTGTGACAAGCTTGACCTAGTGACCGTTGACAAAGGGATTAGAACCTCAGTCAATGGACATACAGACTCAGTTGCTCCAACTGCTATGACATCTCTCGCGGGACAAAATGTTGAAATTTTACTCCGCCTGAAGTGGATCACAATCCCCATCCGATAAAATAATTCTCGTCCGAAAATCACTTCAATAAGATTGATTTTTTTAACGAATGTAGAGCAAAATGTGTGGGAGGAATTTTCGTAAAGAGAGAAGAGATCGAGAAACAAAATCTAAAAAATGAAACGGTACCAGTAAAAATAATACGACAAATAGCACACCCACACTAACAAACACTATAAATAAAACCACATAGCGTACTCCATCATTTCAAATTGTAATCTTCATTACACACTACACATATAACATAAGCATGGTTCTGTCAGTGCTGCTGAATATTATGTACCGGCCGCCGGCAAATTTGGCGGTAACTGCAATTTCAGTATTCAATCTTGTGTCGATGGCCATTTCCGGGAGGATGGAAGTTCAGGGAAAGCATTTGCAGTACTCTAAGCTCCAAAGTAATGGTACTAATAATAACAATAATGAAAACAACAAAAACAAGAATGTGAAGATAGTAGAAAAGGCTAAAGTACCGAGTCAACTCGGCATGTTTGTTATCTACGCGCCTGCTTTTCTCGCTGGAGTTTCCTCTTTTGCCCTTCGACCCAGTGGCGATCTCCGGTTTAATTTGGTTCGTTCTGCTATCACCACCCATTTCCTCAAGAGAGTCTTGGAGGTACATTTCTAGCTAGGTGTACAATATCTATTTGGATTCATATGGTTAGGCAAAACATTTGTCAGTATATTTGTCACTGATAGTACAAATTCTATATAGTGGCAATAAAAAGATAATAATAATAATAATAATAATAATTGACATCAACAGATATCGGACTTTTATATTAGTGATAACATAAAAAATGTTGTCTCTTAATGTAAGAAATTAGTGACAACTTTTGATATCGTCACCATTGCAGGGTACATCACTAATGTCGTCCTTTTCTTTTAAATTTCTTGTCAATTTGATATGCGATTTTTGTCAGGGTAAATTACATATACACCCTTGAGGTATGCTAACATATATTTAAGGTCTTTGTGGTATCGGTAATTACAACAACCCTCCGAAACATTGTTAGAAACACTAACGGAATAATGCATTGGATAAGTTATTTCGTTAGGGTTCTAATCGACTATTAGTTTCAGGAAATGGTGGAGACAACTTAGAGTTAGGAGGTGACATGCCTCCCCCAACATTTCTTAAATCCTTATTATTTTATATAACATTAATACATATTCGTCTATGGTAGCGCAGAAAACAAAATAGTGCATATCGGTCTCCAGGATATGAAATCTTGGCTCTGGTAATTACTTCAGGGGTGTGACTGTAATTACCAATACCATAGGGACCTTAAAGTTATTTTAGCATACCTTAGAGGTCTAGGTGTAATTTACCCTTTTCTTAACTAGTAATTGTGCTTTCATGTGGAATATAGGTGCTCTTCGTTCACAAATTTAGTGGGTCGATGGATGCGGAAATAATGATCCTACTTTCTGTGAGTTACTTATTATCCGCATTGACAATGATCTACAATCAAGAATTGGTGCAAGGACTCCCCGAACCCGTTATTGATCTTAAATACGTCGGAATTGCGATGTTTTTATTGGGAATTGGTGGTAATTTTTATCACCATTTTCTTCTATCCAAATTGCGAAAAGACGGCGAAAAAGTGTACCAAATCCCTCAAGGGGGGCTCTTTTCTTTGGTGATATGTCCGCATTATTTATTCGAAATTTTCGGGTTTTTGGGAATTTCCTGCATTTGCCAAACACTCTACCCCTTGTGTTTTACTGTGGGATCAGTTTTCTACTTGATGGGAAGGAGTTATGCCACTAGAGAATGGTATGAGTCAAAATTTGAAGATTTTCCCAAAGAAGTCAAAGCATTGATTCCTTACATTTTCTAGCTAGTGACAAAGAAAATAAGAGCATGTAATAGCTCTTAGACTCAATATTGATGTTTCTATTATAGTTTGAATCCGGTCGAAGTGGTCCAAACGTGACCTAGTCAATTGTTCGGTTCTATGTTTTCAACCGATTTTGAAAATAATATATTTTATTAGTCTATTGTTATGGCCTCCCATTTGGGATTTGGAACATTATATTTACGGCAAATTATAAAAATCCCTCTCATGTTTATGCAATTACGAAAACCCCCCTCTGACAGTGTTTGACCGTTTAAACTTTAAATTCACGGAAAATGTATTTTGTCTGTTTTATCTTTCCATTATTTGAAATTTTATATTTATAATCAAAAAAATCATTCTAACACTTTCAAAGTAATTGTGTAACAACATTACAAGTTTTTCTAAGGTTCAGTCCTTCCATTTCATCTGGCAAGTGCCTAATAAAGATTTATTCTTCAAAAAAAATATATATATAACTATTAATTAACTCCCCTATGCTTTTATTTTTCTTTTATTAGACAGTGAAATCTAAGTGTAATAAATTACAAAATCTCTATAAAATACTTACCTTAGAGGTAAAACTCAATATTCTTCATCACCACAAACTATTGACCATCGAGAAACGACATTTGCAATATAAAATGAAAATTATCGTAACCGTGTTCTTGATCGTAACGCTTAATATTTTGCTAACGCCAATTCGGGGGAAAAAACCCAAATGTTTTTTCACCACTGGATATGAAGTTTATGTAGTTAACAACCTTCCGGCTTCATCTCCACCACTGTTATTGACCTGTGCCTCGAAGGACGACAAACTTGGAAATCATACGCTTTATGTGAATCAAGATTTTCATTTTCATTTCTGCGAGAGTGTTTTTGCGGATACTACATTTGCTTGTGAGTTTCGGTGGGAGTCGAAGAAAAAACTTTTCGACGTATTCAACGCAGCCCGGAGAAAATTATGCGGCAAGGATAACTTTTGTTACTGGGCAGCGAAAACTGACGGTATTTATTTTTCGAACGATAGTAAAACAAAAGCATTGGAGTTAACATATGAATGGGAAATTAACCAAGCTAGTAGAATATAATTGGCAAATATGTTTCTTGTTATTGGTATAAATAAAGGCAATTGAATCACTTGTTAACATCTACAATATTTATTTTGACTAGATTAAATAAATCGTGAAATGCACGAAAAAAGAAACTTCTTATGTCTAACCCCATCTATTAAAAGAACAATTAGATAGGGTTTGTAGCAAGAAATTCTTATCTGCGATTTAGATAAATAAGAAAAATTTGCACAAAAATAATTTTATTGAATTAAAAATAAATATTGCAGGTTACAAACTCTAATTTAGTTCTCTGATTCTTCTCTCAAGAAAATATGCGTTCGACTTTGAATTTCGGAGTCGGATCGTTGACCTGATCTTCTTCGGATTTGATTTGGATTTGAATAACGTCTTCCGAGGGTCTTGCGACTTGAATCTCGAATCGAACGCTGAACTTTGACGGGTTTTGGCTTGAAGATCTTGGAGTTCTTGATGGATTTGGCCCTTCAATCTTCCTTCGATCTTGATTTGTTGAACGTTGACGGGCTTTGACTTGAAGATCTTGGAATTCTTGATGGATTTGGCCCTTTCAATCTTCCTTCGATTTTGATTTGTTTGAAGAACGCCCTCGATTTGATGAAGAATGCCTTGAATTTGATGAAGAACGACTTGAATATTGTAGAGAGAATTTTCTCCTACCGTTTTTTCTTCTTCTTGAGTTGTGTCTTGAATTGTGTAGAGAGGGTCCCTATTTATAGTGGTAGAATAAGAATCCTACTTAAAGTCTACTTGATGACGTGGCGCGATTTGATTGGCTCTCTTTAAATTGATATTTATCTCTTATAACTTGGAAGAGAAGAAATAATCCTATTGGCCAATAATTAATTGATAATATTTATCTTATTTTGTAAGATAAATTATAATTTAATTTAGACACAATTTAATTGGCTAATTTAATTAACCAATCAATTAATTTTATGTGTCTACAAATGCCCCCTCGAAGTCACGGACAATGCATCTTGGAGTGGATGAGTCCCGATAATTGTTCAACTTCGATTGCAGCTTGATCTAGCAAAGAACATATATCTTTTGAAATCATGACTGAACTTAGAGAGATTCTAAGTTGCCTAGGTACCCTATAAAGGGATCAAGTCATAACGTAGTTCAAAATATATCCTTTTTGAGGGATGTCGTGCACAGTTTATACTCATGTGGACAAGGAGAAACATTTGCAGTTTAAGCTCGTACTGAAGGAGCATTTAACTTGAATTTGTAGATAGTTTATGCTCGTATCAAGGAGCCTTGACCTGATTTCGATATATAGATAGTTTATGCTCGTATCGAGGAGCCTTGACTTGATTTGGATATATAGATAGTTTATGCTCGTATCAAGGAGCCTTGAGTTGATATGTATAGATAGTTTATGCTCGTATCAAGGAGCATTGATTTGACTTGGATATATAGATAGTTTATGCTCGTATCAAGGAGCTTTGATTTGATTTGAACTTGTAGACCTTTTAAACTCGTGTCAAGGAGTATTTCATTCAATTTGGACATGTAGACCTTTTAAACACATGTCAAGGAGTGCTTCGTTTTATTTGGACACATAGACCTTTTAAACTCGTGTCAAGGAGTATTTCATTTGATTCGGACATGCAGACCTTTTAAACTCGTGTCAATGAGTGCTTCGTTTGATTTGACTTGTCATATTGCATAGGATGTCGTTTCTTCAAAAGACTTGCCCCCATCCTCATGATCTTCTTGTTCTTCTTCAACATGTTCTTCTTTGAGCTGATACGACTTTTGGAATGAAGGTTCTTCGACTTCATTTGCAGTTATGCTCAATTCCATATCATGTGCTCGAGTGGCCAACTCTTCAAAACATTTAGGTTGAATTTCTTGAAGGATATATCGGAGTCCCCATTGCATTCCTTGGATGCATAGTTCAATAGCTGATGTCTCAGGCAGTCGATCCTTGCAATTAAGACTCAAATTTCTCCAACGGTTGATGTAGTGGATGACAGGTTCCTTCTTCCATTGGCGGGAATTGGTGAGCTCAATCATGCTGACTGTTCTTCGAGAGTTGTAAAAGCGGTTGAGAAATTCTTCCTCCAAGTGCTTCCAACTATCAATGGAGTTTGCCCCCAAATCAATGTACCAATCAAACGCGTTGTCTTTGAGCGATCGGACGAATTGCTTGACGAGGTGATCTCCATACGTCCCGGCATCATTACAAGTCTCGACGAAGTGTGCCACATGTTGCTTGGGGTTGCCTTTGCCGTCAAATTGTTGAAACTTTGGAGGTATATAACCAATTGGCATCCTTAGATCATCAATCCTTTGCGTGTATGGCTTGACATAGGTTGATGGAGACTTCGAGCCTCCTTCCAACTTGTCTTTGATGGTTCCACTGATCAGCGTCATCACTTGATCTACATGAATCATCCCTTCTGGAGAAACTTGAAAATCTTGAGCTGGAGCCTTCTCGTTTTCAACTGGTTGTTGCTTTGTGGATGTCTCGACTTCGTCTTGAACCTCTATCTGATTCTCCACAGCTTGACTAGCATCGGCTTTGTCCATCTTGTTGTTCAACTCGGCAATTTGAGAATCTCGTTGTTGAATATGCTTTGCGAGTCCCTCAATGGCCTTTGTCAAACTTGCAATTCGCTCCTCCATGGTTGTAGCGTTTGTTGTCATGACGGATGCCACCTCTGAGTAGCTTGATGTTGAACGAGGCGTGGGCTGTGAAATCTCTCGTTTTGAACCTTCCACGTCTGCGCTTGTGTTGACAAGAGGCGGTAAGCCTTTCTGGATGGTTTGGGGCGTCGAGTTAGTCTCGGAGGATGCTTGCAGCTTCTTAGCCATACTCCTTGTACTTAAGCCCATACTTGATGAATCCGAAGTATCAATCTTCATTGTGAACGTAGAGCAGTCACTGCAACACTTCGAGGATCTTCGAGAGAGAGAAGAGATGAGAGGTAGAGATGTCCCACTGGGCGTGCCAAAATTTGTAGCAACAAATTCTTATCTGCGATTTAAACAAACAAGAAAAACTTGCACAAAAATAATTCTATTGAATTAAAAATAAATATTGCGAATTACAAACTCTAATTTAATCCTCTGATTCTTCTCTCTAGAACAATGTATGTTTTGACTTTGAATTTTGGAGTCGGGTCATTGACTTGATCTTCTCCGAATTTGATTTGGATTTGAATAACGTCTTCCAAGGTTTTGCGACTTGAATCTCGGATCGAACGCTGAACTTTGACAGGTTTTGACTTGAAGATCTTGGAGTTCTTGATGGATCTTGATTGACTTGAAGATCTTGGAGTTTTTGATGGATTTGGCCCTTCAATCTTCCTTCGATCTTGATTTGTTGAAGAACGTCCTCGATTTGATGTTTGATGAAGAACGTCTTGAATTTGTTGAAGAACGACTTGAATATTGTAGAGATAATTTTCTCCTACGATTTTTCTCTTTCTTGAGTTGTGTCTTGAATTGTGTAGAGAGGGTTCCTATTTATAGTGGTAGAATAAGAGTTCTACTTAAAGTCTACTTGATGACGTGGCGCGATTTGATTGGCTCTCTTTAAATTGATATTTATCTCTTATAACTTGGAAGAGAAGAAATAATCCTATTGGCCAATAATTAATTGATAATTATCTTATTTTGTAAGATAAATTATAATTTAATTTAAACACAATTTAATTGGCTAATTTAATTAACCATTTAATTAATTTTATGTGTCTACAGGGTTCTAGGCGGGTTTGTCTAAACACCCCAAATCCGATTCGTGAAAAATACCTAAAACCCCTACCGGTCTTAATCTAAACTCGGATATGCCCCGACCGTTACTCAAATTTAAGGGGTCAGACCCAACAGACCCGGTAACCGGTTAATAGCAAATAAAGTATATAATATCACTTACATTTCATAATATATATTACTCATATATTGACAACAAAAACAATCTCAAAACTCAAATGCAATATTTCAAGAAACTATAACACATGTTATATGAAAGAAATAATATCCGTTAATTGTGTAGTATCTACCCCTAAATACCTCACTCCAAACCCTACTCCTTTTTGACCGTCTAAAATACACCGGACATCGGATCTTAGACGGGCGATGGTGAAATGATGAACGGAAAATGATAACTATGAGAGAGAGTTTGGAAGAGAGTACAAAGTGTTCTCATTGATGTTAAATAATGTCGT